TCGACTAAAGGGCCCTCGGGTGGCTCTACGGGTCAGCTGGTTCTCAGCCGGCCGACAGGCCCTGGATAGTGGCTATCTACAGCTTAGTAGTCCAGATCCCTGGACTCTTAATGAGCTGAACTTGATAAACAACTTGATGTGCAGTCGAACCCAAATTCACGTCAATAAACATGACATGTATAAATGAAAGGCATCTATAAATGATCAAAACTTAACTCTATTACGCATTCATCATGAAATAATTACATAGTCACATTTTATACAATTGAAAAGAATTAAATACAAGGATGAGGCCTTTATGGCTGAAATTTACATAGCATTAATACAATTAAAATAAAAATAAATCCCTAGCTACATTAATGTCCATGGATGCACATTATTTACCAGCTTGTCTCTTCATTCTTGAAAAATGTTAATGATAATAAGGTGACCTCAACAGCTCAATACAAAAAGTCTAAAATACATTCTTAAAAATTCTGTGAGCCACAACCAAAGAAAAGGAGATCAGGAAAATGGATCATGGGAATACCAGCCACAACATCATACATGAATTTTCGCAAATTCTTAAACCATTTCATCACTAATCATGTAGATCATGAACAAATCATGCTTCACAACTCTACTAGATAGAACTAAACATGCTTACACCAACAAGATTTACATGTAGTGAACACATAGGAAACTGTGATACTCCTCGAATCCGAGACATGGGTTGATCAGGCCCAAGCCCAAACCCAAACCCGAGGGATACCAAACAATTAATATGTAAATGAACACAGATTTCAAAATGAAATAAGAAATAAATAATTACAGGCTGAAAGAATTCTAAATTAATAATTCTCAAAATATAATTGTTAAATCCAATAATCCGAAACTCTCAATTTATTTAACAACTCGGGAATCCATCTAGTGGACCTCTAATAAAATCACAAACTAAAAAGGAAATAATTGTAATAAAAATCCAAAGCTAAAAATAGAAAACAATCCTACGTAGTTGGAGGAGTGAGTCACTGTATCTGCTCTGCATGACCAAGCTCTAACTCTAGAACGGACGAATACCTGAAAAATAAGAGAGTGGGTCAGGCCCACATGCAAGTCCTATCCTACTACGATCCATACAGAAACCCGATACGCAGATACATCCTAGATAGCTCAACAATAACTAGAATAGTCCATATATGTATAGATACATACTATAGAACGCTCACTAGTCCAATAGGTTTGTCTCAGCCTAAGTAGAGATACCATGCAAATCGCACATAACGTGGTCATGTATACCTAGACCTACCAGGGAACAACAATTACTGTCCAGTTATCCATCCTAGGCGATATAAGCACCCTAACCATGGTCTTGAGACTCAAGTTCATACCATGATACCATAACATAAATATATAAAGTCCGTATAAGCCTAATACAAAATGTCATCCATCTGGTATAGTGGCCTGATATATGTATAATTAAACAGTATTAAATCATATTTACAAGAATCTCTAATTTCCAGTACGTAAGTTGATTAACAACCAAAGTGCAACATGTAGGATTTTTCTCTAAATTCATACTGTCCATTCCTTAATCCATTTATGAATTATTGTTTCCCTATATTTTTACAGGTATGTGACAATCATATACATCATTTAAAGCAGTTTAAATGAAGTGAAATTACCCTGTATAGTCCAAACATCGCCCTAAAAACCAACAGTACACAATTCTGGGCGAGAGCAAGCTCTCACAAATTGAGAGCCTGCTTCATTGGCATAGGAGCTGGCTCCCTAACTTTGGGAGCAGGCGTTGTGGAGCTAGGAGCGGCTCCACACTCCTTGGAGCCGGCTCCATTGATGAGGGAGCTGGCTCCCTCTTTTTGGGAGCCTGCTTTCCCATTCCCCGAAGCCGTTCTGCGTATCTGCTTCGTCTTCCTCGCCTCCGGTGATTCCCAAAGCCTCTGTAATATTTTAAACACTTGTTCTAATGTTCATTCAGTGTCCCATATTATTTTAAAGACATCGACATGTATCAACAATCTCAATTAAACAAGGCTACAAAAAACATATACAGAAGGATACAATTAAACGCTTTAAATATTTTCAAATCAGTTTAATTCAACGAAGCAAATTACAGTTTAAACATGCATCACAGATATGTTTTAGCATTAATTAAACCCCTGGAGTCTACCTATGCATGCACAGAACACAGGTTTAAGGGAAAGAGTTAGAATAAAGACTTGCCTTTGATTTTAGTTTAGAAATCTTAAGCCGTCGTATCTAGCAACTCCGGCTGCTTTAGTTGTTTTTATTGACCTCTGCTGCTCCTAGTTCAACCCATGACATGCGTCAATGATTCCTCCTTGATTCAGCCTTTGACCCTAACCAAAACCCTAACTTTTCTCTCTCTGTTCTCTCTCAAACCACCCTGCTCTTTCTCGCAGCCTCCACTGTTCATAAGTAGAGTTCTAAAAACCCTTGCAGACTATTAAACTGTTATATTTATAAACCACTTAGGTTAACCTAATTCTAATTACGTAGGGAATGAAAAACACACACAAGTCGGCAACACCGTGAATCATAAAACCCTAATTAATCCAATTAACCTACTAAAATAATTAAACAATTACAATAATTCAATTAAATACAAATAATAAATAAAAAAAATTAAATCAATTAATTCAAATAATTCAGAAAATTCAAATAATAACAATAATTCAATTAATTCAAATAATTCTAATAATTCAAATAATAACAATTAATTCAACAAAAATGTAATTAAATAATTAATTAAAATACCAGGACTATTCTTTTAAAATTAGGGGTATTACAGAAATTCACTAACATCACCAATCATGTAGATCAAGAACAAATCATGCTTCACAACTCTACTGGACAGAACTAAACATGCTCACACCAACAAGATTTACATGTAGTGAACACATAGGAAACTCACTAAAACCATAGGAATTCGCAGTTTAGACTTCCCCTACCTTAAGATAGCAACCCAAGCTCCAAGCTCCGAACTCAAATCCCACCAAAAGCCTGTAATACCGGCACCAAAATGTAGCCCTTGTAATGATCTATAATTTGCTAACTCCGACTTAAACCAAATATACTTCTAGCAAGAAGAAATTATAAAGAGAAGGAAGAGAGCAATATGGAGAGAGAAAATAGAGAGAGGAAAAACATGTCTGCCGAATGAAAGGAAAAGAAGAATGGGCTAAAATCTAGCACCCCTTTGTTCTCTAGAATGTTCTAGGCTGGTTTATTAGACTAAAATGATAAAGATGCCTCCTAAACTTCTTTACAACCTCAACAATGCCATAAAATATCACCCTCCACTTAGTAATACTAATACAACATACATACATGAATACAAACACACACACACATGTGAAATGACTATAATGCCCCTCACTCAAAATGACCAAAACATTTTTTGGGGCCCGCATGGCATGCAAAACGAGGAAATGATTAAAATAATCCAGAAAATCAATTAAATTCTAGAAAATAGAAAATAGGAAAAAATCAGTAACATTACAATCTCCCTAACTTCAAAAAATTTCGTTTCCGAAATCAACCTACCTCATAAGTGAAAGACGAAAGGATACAAAAACGGAGTACATCTCCGAGTACCCCACGCAACACTCTATACCTTAAAACCCTAACACGAAAAATCCAACGTCCCATGTCACTCGCAACCCTATGCTTGTGACCCAATGCAATCTCGACCAAACAGTGACCACAGCTATACGTAATCTCATCCCCCTTAACGCAAACTGGCATAAGGGCACACCCTATGCCGAATAAAATTCTCAACCACCACATGCATACACACGAGGCACAAGCCCCCAACCAACACTACAAGAAAATAGGTCTTTAGTGACAGTCAAATCCGTCACTAAAAGCCCTAAAACCGTCACTAAAAATCAAAATCGTCCGTCACTAGTTAGAGCGTCGCAAAAGATTTTTAGTGACGGTAAAAAATGATTGTCACCAAAAATAAGGGTCTTTAGTGACGGTATTTACTATCCTAAATAATCCCGTCAGTAAAAGTTATTAGGGACCAAAAGTACCGTCACCAAAAAGTAATGGTCTTTAGTGACGGTATTTATTGTCCCAAATAATACCATCATTAAAAGTCATTAGGGACAGAAAATACCGTCACAAAAAATAAAGGTCTTTAGTGACAGTATTTACTGTCCCAAATAATCCCGTCACGAAAAGTTATTAGGGACGGAATGTACCGTCACCAATAAGTTATATATTAGGGACAATTTTGAACTGTCACTAATACATAAACTATTCGTGACAGTATTTACCATCCCTAATAACAAGTTTTTTATTTTATTTTTTAACAATGGTGACAACTAGAAACCGTCCCTATTACTCCAAATTTTTTTTTGGTGGGGGGGGAGGGGGTACGTTCGTTTGTATGTTCCCCAGCTATGTTTGACGTTTGTATGTTTTTTTTTCTTCTCAAGTTCTTTATAAGAAAAACTCAAAACTCTTAACTGAAAACTCAAATCATGCACCATAGATGATATCAAAAGCATATGACATATAGAATATGAAAATAAACTTTAAACATCTCTAACATATATGTTCAAAAGTCAAAGCATCATTAGTTTTAAATGCCTAATAGAATTTATAGTTGAAACACAAAAAAAGCTAGATATCAACTAGTCATAAGAAAACTGTAGTTAAAAGATAAAAAGGGCTAGATATCAACTAGTCATAAGAAAGCTTCATAATTTTATACCAAAATATTTAGCTCCGGCCATCATATTCGTCATTCGATTTGTGGTTGTAGTTGTGGTTGTGGTTGTGGTGGTGGTGGTGGTGGTGGTGGTCGTGGTGGTGGTGCTCGTGGGTGGTTATGATATCACCTCCATGGTGGCGGCGGCTGCTGATATTGCCACCATGGTGGTGGCGACTATTGAAGGTGAGAGTCTGGGGGTGATGGATGCTCATACCCTCTTGGCGGGGTTGCTTCTTGTTAGGAATCTGATGAGGATTGCTGATATTGCCACCATGGCGGCGGCTGCTGTTGCTGTTGAAGCATCTTCTCAATTCTTTGCATATATTCCCGCAAACCTTTTACTTCCTCCTTCAGTTGTGCATTATTTTCCTTAGCAATTTTTGCTCTTTTACGAGAAGCCTCTTCAAAAGATGAGAATGCACGTTGATGGCTTGGAATCACGAAACCATGTCCGAACCCACGGGGATATCCTTTCCTGATACCTAGTTGGTTTTGCACTATCTCAACATCATTTCTCACTGGACTGGTACTATCAGAATTTTGACAAATTTGGGAAGCCTTACCCATCATTTCATCCTGCAATTGACATATAAGTCTTAGAATTGAGAATTGAGAATTGAGATACAAATTAAGGAAAGAAAGACTTGTACTAGAAAAATAGTAAAGGCTAAACTGATCACATTAATATAACAAAAGTTTTGTAACTAATCATTCAAAAATATAACAAGTTCCATACAAATTCATAATTTCCAACAACATAACAACACTACATGTCATCTATCTATAGACATAACAGGCACAAAATAAAAATGAAGAGAACTATTTTATCCATACATAAACCCATCAGATTGCTGCTCGGAAGGAGAAGTAGATGGAAACACTAAGAGCTGCTCTTGGGATATAAGCACATCTAAGTATGAACACACACACACACACAACACACATATATATTCATGCCAAAATTGAGCAAAACAGTAATGACCAAAACCCAATACATGCAAACATACAAAAAGACATATTACAAGAAATCTAAACCTGAATAGAAAACTTTTTAGTGCATATTTGCAGAGAGACACTAGAAATTTTTGAAACCTAAAACAGATCCACCTTGAAAAGGCTCAAAATGAGAGAGAATGAAAGCAAACTCTTAAATTTTTTTTGAACCCAAAACAGATTCACCTTCAAAAAGTTCAAAATGAGAGAGAATGAAAGCTTACCCTTAAATTTTTTTTTTTTTTACACATGTATATAAGTATAGATAAATTTATCATTTTATTTGTTTAACTTTATTTTATCCAGTAATGAAAATAATTTCCCAATTGTTTGCATTATTTGAAGTAAAGAAGTAGGGTGAAACGATCAAATATTATAAATTTTACTAACGTTGTACCGACTTCATGGAATTGGAATTAAAAAAAAAAAAAAAAAAGGCACTTTAAACTTCGAACTAAATTTTCTTCAATTATAATTCCAATGCACCAATTCATACAACCAAACATGGCATAAGAGTAATTCCCCTTTATATTTGATGACAATAGAATTGTCTAAAGAAAGGGCTCTAATGGGACCAATAAATGACCTATTTGAAGAATAAAAGAATATGCACTATAAGAGTGGTGCCATATAAGAGAATAGGCAGCAGTACGATTGTACTGCTGCTATGCTAGAAAATTGTTTCCAAGAGCTGCTCTTGGGATATAAGCACATCTGAGTATGAACACACACACACACACAACACACATATATATTCATGCCAAATTGAGCAAAACAGTAATGACCAAAACCCAATACATGCAAACATACAAAAAGACATATTACAAGAAATCTAAACCTGAATAGAAAACTTTTTAGTGCATATTTGCAGAGAGACACTGGAAATTTTTGAAACCCAAAACAGATCCACCTTGAAAAGGCTCAAAATGAGAGAGAATTAAAGCAAACCCTTAAATTTTTTTTGAACCCAAAATAGATTCACCTTCAAAAAGTTCAAAATGAGAGAGAATGAAAGCTTACCCTTAAAAAAAAAAATTTACACATGTATATAAGTATAGATAAATTTATCATTTTATTTGTTTAACTTTATTTTATCCAGTAATGAAAATAATTTCCCAATTGTTCGCATTATTTGAAGTAAAGAAGTAGGGTGAAACGATCAAATATTATAAATTTTACTAACGTTGTACCGACTTCATGGAATTGGAATTAAAAAAAAAAAAAAAAGGCACTTTAAACTTTGAACTAAATTTTCTTCAATTATAATTCTAATGCACCAATTCATGCAACCAAACATGGCATAAGAGTAATTCCCCTTTATATTTGATGACAGTAGAATTCTTTAAAGAAGGGCTCTAATGGGACCAATAAATGACCTATTTGAAGAATAAAAGAATATGCACTATAAGAGTAGTGCCATATAAGAGCATAGGTAGCAGTACAATCGTACTGCTGCTATGCTAAAAAATTGTTTACAAGAGCTACTCTTGGGATATAAGCACATCTGAGTATGAACACACACACACACACAACACACATATATATTCATGCCAAAATTCAGCAAAACAGTAATGACCAAAACCCAATACATGCAAACAATCAAAAAGACATATTTCAAGAAATCTAAACCTGAATAGAAAACTTTTTAGTGCATATTTGTAGAGAGACACTGGAAATTTTTGAAACCCAAAACAGATCCACCTTGAAAAGGCTCAAAATGAGAGAGAATGAAAACAAACCCTTAAATTTTTTTTGAACCCAAAACAGATTCACCTTCAAAAAGTTCAAAATGAGAGAGAATGAAAGCTTACCCTTAAAATTTTTTTTTTTACACATGCATATAAGTATAGATAAATTTATCATTTTATTTGTTTAACTTTATTTTATCCAGTAATGAAAATAATTTCCCAATGGTTTGCATTATTTGAAGTAAAGAAGTAGGGTGAAACGATCAAATAATATAAATTTTACTAACGCTGTACCGACCTCATGGAATTGGAATTAAAAAAAAAAAAAGTCATTTTAAACTTCGAACTAAATTTTCTTTAATTATAATTCCAATACGCCAATTCATGCAACCAAACATGGCATAAGAGTAATTCCCCTTTATATTTGATGACAGTAGAATTCTTTAAAGAAGGGCTCTAATAGGACCAATAAATTGTTGGCTTTTGCTCTGATACCACTTTGTTGGAAATAGTGGCCTAGTTACACACACAACACTATACTATTTGGAAGAGAATAGAAATGGAGGAAAATATTTCTTATTTCACTTTATATATTATTTGACTAGAGTACATGAATATATAGGCCTCACATATGTATGTGTAACCATTACATTTAAATGTCCATAACTCTCCTATCTCCCACTAACATAATCTTCAATATGCATAACTCCCACTAACATAGTATTTGTTAGGCTTAACTCTCATGACTCTTTATTTTACATAACCTTAACTCCCACTAAGACAATTTACTACCCACTAACATGCTAAATTAACACATGCATCATGGATACAAAAATACTTGAAAATACTAAATACTAAAATCAAGTTTATTTTCAACACCCCCCTTTAAACTTGATTTTGTAACTTGAAAAACCTTCTTATTAATCTTGGGGGCTTGATCAAAAGTTTGATAGTTGATCTTCAATTCCACCCCCTTCAATAGCTTCAATCTTCTTGGCCATTTCCATTGATGTGTAGGGCTTGTGAAACTTCTTCAAATGCTTGTTTGATATCTTCACATAATCATATATCATCCTCTTTATACAAGCACACCATCGATCTTTTTTCTTCTTAAATTTTTTATGGATCTTCAACTTCACATATACTTCTTCTTTAGAGTCAAAAAATAATTCCATATTCACCCAACCTGTATCAATTACAAAATTCTCCAAACTATTTTTGAAAAAATAATATGAGAATTTCTTATCATCCTGGGCTTCAATCTCATACTTCTTTGGAACAACTTTCTTTAAGAGAAGTTCATCATTCTCCACAAAATAAGCATTATTTGATGAATATGAAGAAATAAAAATTTCATCAAATAAGTCAAATATAACTTCTTTCAAGGTGGAATTTGTAACCATACCTGAAGATGTTAATTCACCAACTTGAACTTTTGCCTCTTCTTTAGCACTTCCTTCTTCTAAATCTTCTATTTTTACTTCATCCTCATTCACTTTTTCAATCTCTTCTTTAACACCTTTTCTTACCTCTTCCTTATTCACCATTTCAAATTCTCCTTCAACTTTTGAATCTCCAAAATCTTCAACTTCTTTTGCACGATACACCTCTTCATTCTCCACAGCTTTGTCTTCAAGACTTTCATAATCATCTTTCGTAAACTCATCATTCTCAAAGCATTGTACCCAATACTCCATGGGTAGTGATTTACCTCTATGATTGGAAACGATGGTCTCGAGCATCTTCCAAATACAACTTGGAGTTTTGGACTCTCCAAAATACTCCCAAATTTCTTGATGTATTGCCTTTTGCAACACTACCAATGCCTTATCTTTTTTCTTTTCATGAAGCTTGTTGGACATGCCATTCTTTGGCTCTTCTCCAACAACATCCCACAAATCGCATGCTTTGAGGTATGAAGTCATGATGATTCTCATTCTCTTGTAATTAGAGAACATCATCTTTTCACTAAGAAAATACATTTTCTCCCCTTCATCTTCATCAAGGAGAAACATGTTTTTCTCAAATGTTGAACCTTCTAGGATCAACTTCGTCTGGCCTTCAGGATCGTCTAGGCTCTGATATGAAACCTAGCTCTGATACCACTTTGTTGGCTTTTGCTCTGATACCACTTTGTTGGAAATAGTGGCCTAGTTACACACACAACACTATACTATTTGGAAGAGAATAGAAATGGAGGAAAATATTTCTTATTTCACTTTATATATTATTTGACTAGAGTACATGAATATATAGGCCTCACATATGTATGTGTAACCATTACATTTAAATGTCCATAACTCTCCTATCTCCCACTAACATAATCTTCAATATGCATAACTCCCACTAACATAGTATTTGTTAGGCTTAACTCTCATGACTCTTTATTTTACATAACCTTAACTCCCACTAAGACAATTTACTACCCACTAACATGCTAAATTAACACATGCATCATGGATACAAAAATACTTGAAAATACTAAATACTAAAATCAAGTTTATTTTCAACATAAATGACCAATTTGAAGAATAAAAGAATATGCACTATAAGAGTGGTGCCATATAAGAGAATAGGCAGCAGTACAATCGTATTGCTGCTATGCTAAAAAATTGGTGCAATGGTCCCAGCAAAAGGAAAAAGACCGGTAAGGCCTACTCAAAATATGGTGGAACTCAGCTACTTCATCTAAAAGTGATTTATGTTTTTCTTTTTCCTTTTGCTGGGACCATTGCACCAAGTAATGGCAGATCCTAGACAGATTAAGCATTGCGGGAAACTTTCCAAGTATGAGACATACTGGTTAAGTAAATAGAATTATGTATATCCCAACTAAATATAATGGAAGACCAGAAAGGAGACCATTCGAAGAAAGTGAGGTCCGTGATTGTGATATGGTTTTTATACCATATCACAATCAGCATGCTTGCACCAAAAGTTTGTTGTAGTGTTTACCATACAGCTTATACTTTAATGTATGTTAATAAAACAATGCTCAAACAAACCTTTTTTTTTTTTTTTTTTTTTTCACTAGTAGTAAAATTATCAATAATAGGCATATTTTAACTTACGTAGTTCTGCTTAGCTTTCTCATGTACCCATCCAGTTTCTTCCCTATAATGTGTCTCCTTGTATAGGCGAATAACAGGACTCTCCTAGTGACTTTCAACTTCCCCATCCACTTCACTCTGCCTTTCTTCACTTTCTTTTACCTGCAACACAAAGTAATAGTTAGCATTGGAAAATATATGGTTTAGATGGATAATAGATTGAAATTGAATAATTAGTGTTTTATATTACGTACATAACCATCATAACGTCTAACGAATGACATCCATCCTGAAACATGTGGAATGTCATTCTTCGAACGATTAGCTTTATTTCTTTCACTTATTTTCTGCATAGTAATTCAAAGAATAATAAAAGTTAACAAACCTAAATATAGCTAGTGAATCAATGTATTATAATCAATGATTTCAAATACATAGTTAAAACAAGTGGTTAACAATCCAAACCTGAAATTCTGGTGACATCCACCAATCGCACAAGTTTTTCCAAAGATCAATATGAATGCCTACATAAGGATGCAAGCATGCATTCTCAAATGGAAGATGCTTGTCAAAATGATTCTTCAATCTATATCTATATTTTCTCAAACTTTCAGAAACTCCACCGGTTACTCGCTTAAAATCAATTTCACTAGCATGTGCATCCACTGCAAAGATCTCCTTTATAATGAAAAATTAATTTAAGTTAAAAGGAGCCCAATGATTCACACAACAGACAACAGAGAAAATATGAAGAAAAAAATAAGAATATCATATAAATATCAACACACAAATGTATCATCCCTTTGCACTGGAGGCTTAGGGCTCTACCTTTAAAATAAAGCTTACACATACCTTAAAAGTTACCATTCATACCAAAAGGTCCCTATGCCAAATTGACTCACCATTGACGAAAAGAGAGATGGTTTACTATTTTTATTTTTCCTCCTTAAACTAGTGGATGTTCTGCAAGAAGGCATACCTTTAAGAATCCGTTTATAGTCATTTGTTTAATTATTTTTATTTTTTTGAGAGAGATTCAAACTCACTAATTATACTGCAATTTTGCAAATTTGTTTGTGGTATCTCTTAATTGGACCAACCCATTAAATGTTTTATACTTGTGTCTTAATTTGTATTTAGGAGAGATGTTCCAAGCTTTCTCACCAATCTCACTTACCAATTCGCAAACTATGGTGAATTGCGATGTGTATCTCAAGCGTACTAGAAAGACTTGATTTTGAGAGTTATCACAGCATACTCCCAAATACTGACCTATATCCTTTACCTTCCATTTGGAGACATTCAATTGTTAGATATCGTGATAGCACCTTGCCAGTTCCTTTTAATCTTATTCGTACACCCTTTTTTTTAAGCTTTTCATATAACAAAGAAAGGCTAAGAAACAGAGGGAAGATACCCATCAATGGGTACAGACAACCAAGATGCAACAATGGAAGCATGCTTTGAAGGTGTAGATACAGTTAGATTGTCTCTTTCCGATCTAGGACACCTTTTTTATCCTGGTGATGGTTGCACTTAGATTGATGTTGCAGCTGGTAGGAGGAGGAATAGGTTCCTGATTTTGTAAAGAACTTAATGCTAAATAAGCGACAATATGTTGAAAATCTTTAAGCTTACTAATAACTATATATTTGCTGTAAAACGTTGGTTATAGGAGAAATTAATATGATAGTTAAGAGAATTTTAGATTTCTACAAAATATTGTCATTGGCTAGTGAACTTAATGCTAAATAAGCAAATGAATATGAATCTACAGAAAGAAATAACAATCAAAGTAGAGCAACAGAAAGAAAAATGCCAAAGCAAATGGAAGTGGTTATATATAAACAAGGCTGGAGACAACTTTTAATTCTAGCATTTATTGGGTAGGGATTCATGTATAACATAGCATGTGTTGGTTTGGTAACATGGGACCTTTTAGTGCCAGTCATGGTTTTGTCTATACTCTGTAGTGAAATCAACACTAAAGTGGGTTAGACCATTTTAATTGTCAGTTTAGAAGTCAATTCATATACACAATGGAAGTATATGGACAACAAAGAAATAAAAACTAGTTTGTTACAAGCATTTAAATATCAATCTTCTGAACTTGTCTCTCTATCACCAAGTTAATTGTAAATTAAAATCAGATTCAAATAAGATTTAGCTTAATTATGAGCTCACCTAATCAACAATAGTATCAAAAGAGAAAGCACAAACATAACAAAATTTAGGCAGCATATATATTGTAGCATAGAAAAAAATTATTACATTAAAATCTTTTGAAATTCTTTTGTTTTGATAAAACTAAATCTCCATACTCCTCATAGCGATCAGACCACCAGAGCCAAATCACGTATGCCAAAGTCACTGCTTGAAATTCCACAGAAGAGCAGAGGAAAGCACAAATATAAATTGTAATCTCCGAGATCTCTACGCCTCTTAACTCCGTCAGTTTTTCAGTTATAGATGCATTTTATTTAAGATTATGCGACACTGAAAATATGAAGAAAAAAAAGTAGTTTCTTAGGTGAAAAGAAAAGAACTCATTACCTTAAAATGGTCATAGCAGACCTGTCTCTCAGATTCTGGAATATCCCTCCACGTTTTGAAATTTAGTAGTGCTTCTTTATCTCTCGTGTGGATGCCAACTTCTGCAGTCCATAATTTGCTATTTTTTCCTACGGGTTTAATATACCTCGTCCCAAACTCTACTGGAATTGGAACATCTTTTCCATAGAGTGCCTTAGCTTTTTGTAGGGCGACATTCTTCGCTTTTCCGCAGCCTTTTTGCTTTGGGCCTGAAAAATAAATTTGTCATCTTAATTAAAACATAGTAATTTTACAAAAGAGCTTATGGTTAATCAATGATAAAGCATAATTATCACCTCCGCTTGGTTGTGGCCTCGTCTGTGAATTACTACTGTCACCTTCAATACTAGACTGCTGATTTGTTGAATTACTACCACCACCTTCTCCATTCTGTTGTGCAGCAGGTAAACTTGTAGATGGTGCCTTAGTTTGAGGTAAGCTAGCAGGTAAACTTGTAGCTGGTGGCTCAGTTTGAGCCACTCGGGACCTTAATACTTTACGCATTGGAGCCTCAGAGGTGTCCATACTTATTTAACTACCATGCTTCAGAATATAAACAGAAAATGTAAATTTAGTGATCTATAATTAGTCTAATAGAAATCAAATGGCAGAAACTATAGCAACATAAAAAATGAGATCTATCTTAAGGAATCAGATTCCATGATATGTCCGGCCATCATATTCTATTAAAGGAGCAAACAAGATATGAACATTTTCTGCTAGATATGATTAGAGGATGGTTAGTTACAGCCAAAAACTTTATATAAGTTGTATATCTATTAAAGGAGTGAACAATCAAAAGAAAGGGGAACCAAAAGCTCAAGGCACAAAAGAAAAAGCCAAACTAGTTACAAACTGGAACCAGATCAAAACAAAGGAAATAAAGTCCATGCTCAACATTACGTAAGTTTCACATGTCATCCAAATCAATATCATCTTCGGACAGTAATTCTGATTCCTCATCTGAACTATAGTCAATGTCAGTTCCATCATCATTCTCGACAACCCAAAAGTCCTCATTAATTGCTGCTTCACCCGTACATGTTTGAATCATTTCAGCATCAAGAATTTCACTTTCCAAATCACCCCTGTTCAATAGGAGTGGATCCATGTCCAAGTCTGCTTCAACCACCCTATCAATGATGCTTGGTTTATTCTCTTGGTATGCTGGAGCATTGAGCATTTCATCCTCTACTCCGGTTTCGACCTCTACTTCAAGTACATCAAATGAGCTTCTATTTGTTATATCTTGAACTACCTCCCATGTTCCTTGCAATTTGTTGTCTTTGACGTAGAAACATTGTTTTGCTTGATTTGCTAACACAAATGGCTCATTTTTGTATGCTCTACTAGCTACATTTACGCTCGTGAAATAGGTATCTTTATGTATACCACTCCTAACATCAAACCAATAACCCAAAAGATATCGTAACTCAATGATATCTGTTAGAACACCATAGTAATCTTCGCTTTCTCCTTTCACTAACGCACCACTATTCTGTGTTCGTCGATTTTGCTCCCTTTCCTCAGTATGGAACCTAATCCCATTTACAATGCAAGCAGAATCTCGACTTACTCGACTTAGAGGTCCACATGCTAAAGAATATAAATCATCACTAGTTGTTTTCCTTTGATGATGACGCATTTCCTTTATCTATTGAAAAAAAATATAGTGTTAAGCAAATGAATGACATCATTTAAATTAATTAAAGAATATGATTTAATTAATTCCAATATGTACACGATGGACTTATTTGTTTTTCAAACCATCTCGAAAATTCTTTTGCATGTCTTTTAGAAACATTGCGCGGATCTTGTCTCTCAAGTTCTACCTTGTGTTTTCTAAGCAACTACATGATGTTAAGATATAATTGTGTACATGTATTTACAAATACACCATATATTCACATAATCTAACAAGGCATAACATGAAATGAGTTACTTACTCTTCGTATGACTCAACTATTCCAGAATTTTGTAACACGTACAATCGAGCCATCTCCAACTCCTCACGGGGTAATATCTCCAAATTTTGCGCCCCTAGAGGTCGAACCACTTGCTTTAGATCTAAAATAGTGGACCAATTATTGTTGCAGTCCCTCTCACTATTTCTTTCTTCTCGATTGAATCGTGTCTCAATCCCTCCGAGAAATTTTGAACAAAATGTGACGCATTCACTGTCCACGTAAGCTTCAGCAATGGACCCTTCAGGACGTGCTTTGTTACGCAGGCACAATTTGAGAGTACGCAAAAATCTACATAATCGTTTAAAGTATTACAGAATTATATATATATAACAGACCGATAAAACTTGTCATAAAAATAACGTTGGTGTACTAAAAAAATACAACACCTTTCAATGGGGTACATCCACCAATATTGTGTGGGGCCTGCGATGATGGCTTCACGCGGCAAATGCAAAGCCAAGTGGACCATAATGTCAAAAAATGACGGAGGAAATATCATCTCCAACTTGCATAGTACAATAGCAATGTCCCTTTCCATTGCCTCTAAGACATCCAGTTTAAGAGTTCGACAACATAATTCCTTAAAGAATAAACCAAGCTCTGCTACTGTGTTACAAATATCAGAATCTAAGAATCCTCGTATAGCTATGGGGAGGAGACACTGTAAGAGAACATGTGAATCATGACTTTTCAATCCAGATATCTTACAGTTATTAACATTCACACACCGACTTATGTTTGATGCATAGCCATCTGGAAACTTAACCGAATTTAGCCATTCACACAGTTGCCATTTATCATTCTTTGACATTGTGTAGCGTGCTCGTGGCATCTCAAAATTTTCACCATTATGCCTAAGGTGGAGTTCTTTTCTAATTTCATTGCTTCTAAATCCAACCAACTTTTGAACGCGTCTTTCGTTTTTCCTTTGATGTCCAATAATGTCCCCAACACATTATCGCATATGTTTTTCTCTATATGCATAACATCCAGGTTGTGCCGCAACAAAAGGGTCTGCCAATACGGTAGTTCAAAGAAAATACTCTTCTTTGTCCAGTTAAGTTCAAATTCCTCACGAGTTCGCTTCTTGTTATTTGGTCCCTTTCCAAAACTAACCTCGGGTATGAGTTTAAGTTGTTCCAGAATATCATCACCTATCAACTGCTTTGGTGGGCCTTTGTTTTGCTTTTTACCATTAAATTGCTTGCAACGCTTCCTGAAAACATGATCTAACGACAAAAACAAATGACTTCCCAAATAACATATCTTCCGTCTGTGTTTCAAATAACAAGAGCATGTTTGTTCATTACAATTCGGACATGCTAGATAACCCTTTATTATCCATCCAGATGCCATCGCATAGGCGGGAAAGTCAGTAATGGTCCAAATCATTGCTGCATGCATTTTAAAGTTACATTTATTATAAGCATCATATGTCATCACACCACCCCTCCACAATTCTTTAACTCTTTAACCAAAGGTCGCAAATAGACATCAATGTCATTACCAGGTGATGTTGGACCAGGAATAAGCAATGACATAAATGTTGGAAAACGTGCTAGTCTTAAAATTTTTTTGAGGGATTTTGATTCATAGATCTTGATTCATCACATAGAGACAAGTTTTATGCAAAAATAAAATATGATGTATCATTCAAGTAACAGATTGAATACTTACATCAAAGGTCTGAGTAAACCTTTAAATCTTTCCTCTAAAGTGAATGTTCTCACTTATTATAGATCCCTTAGCAAGATGCCTTTTCCTTGGATCTCCATCTCCTTGGTAATTGTTTTGCCTTTAGGAATCACTCATAAGCCTCCATGAATGACCTTGGAAAACTAGGCTTGTGGGAGCCTCCATTAGATGAGAACATAAACCCTAATATTCTAGAGAGAGAAAATAGGTTCCTTTTTCCTTCTACCAAAAATCATACCTAAAATATACATAGACCATGTATATTTATAGGCAACATAAAGATAAAGAAAAGGAAATAACAAATCATTCTCAATCTCTAATTCACATGTCTCAAATCTAATAGGATTCCAATATCAAGTTGGGCTATGAGTGAGAATCCTTTGGGCTTATTATTTTATTGGCTACAATGAATTAATAATTGGCCCGGTTCATGGACCCAATTCAATTAATTCATAAATTAATTTCTACTCCACTAAAAGAAATTAATTTAACTCCAATTAAATAATAAATAACCTCTAAGTCAATATTGCACTTTGACCCCTCTATGCATAATTAGTTATCGGATAAATAAAGCCATCAATCCGACTACTTAATTAATATATTTATTTTTGTACCATTGATTATTTCTGCCTCGATCACAATAAAATATTTGTTTGACAAAAATAATAATTTAAATAAATAAATATATAATAAATCATTTTGTCTAAAAACACACGAAGGCCTTCGAATTTACTTTGTGATCAACCATAATCAATACAAAATAAATACAAGTAGCAATGATGCAAATATTGAAAATATAACCCTCTAACTATTAATTACATAACTACCCAAAGTGTCGGTCTAAAGATTCCGAAGAATTCGCCGAACAAATCAAAGTAATTATTAATTAATAAAAGAGTCTATACTTTTCTCATGCTTAATAGTCAAATGCCATGACGGCGAAAGGGAGCAATTGCATACGACGGCTCTCGCAATCTATCTCAACCTAACACGGATCCAGTTCAAATCTTAATTAATTATGAGCCCATCCATAATTACCGACTATGAACCATTTATGATTACTATTTATATTCATGTATTGATCGCCATCACATACATATATAAATATCTCTTGTAATCAAGTGAACACTATCAATTCTATAATGAATATAATACATTGAATTCACCAATTGTATAAAGCATAAATATTTCAGAAACGTCAGGAACTTATGTCACATTAATCCATATAGGAATTTGCTATGCCATGGCATATAAATCACAACAGCTCCCACTTGCCCTCATAGCCAATTCAAATTGCATCTAACTCCAATGTTATCCAGATGACAATCAAAATTATTGATCAATGACACCCTTGTTAATGGATCAACAAAGTTGTGTTCCAATGCAGTGCTCCAGCCACGAGTATATTTTCTTACCGGAAAATATTATGTAGAACATGATACTTCCTCTCAGTGTATCTTGTTCCTCTATGGGACCTTGGGTCATTGGTTTGGACTGCTTCTACACTATTATCGCAATATAGCTCGATAGGTAGGGTAGTATGCTCCACAACCTCTAAATCAGTGAGATCAAACAAAAAAGGCTTCCATTGCCGCCTCTAAGGCTGTAATGTACTCCACCTGCAGGTTTAAGTCAGCAGTTGAAATTTGCTTAACAATCTACTAATTGATTTCCCTTCCATTGAGTGAACATACACTAAGTCATGAACCTCATAGTATCTACTTCTGATTGAAAATCAGAATTAGTATACCTGACTAGGACCATATCATCACATCCACAAATGAGTATGATATCATTGGTTCTCCTTAGGTACTTAATGATATTTTTCACAACAGACTTGTTATCAAGTCCAGGATTGGACTGATATCTTCTGACTATCCCTACAATGTAGCGGATGTCCTATTTAGTATAGACTATGGCATATATGAGACTCCTATATGCCAAAGCATATAGTTCCAGTCTCATTTGCTTAATCTCCTCAGCTAGTCTTGGAAAACTACTTACTAAAGAGAGCAATCCATGTCAATCAAGAAATAACTCATTCTTTGAGTTTTGCATACCAAACCTGGTCAAAACTTTATCAATGTAGGATTATTAAGATAAGCCTATTTTCCTTTTAACCTGATCTTGCAAAAGCTTGATCCTAGGAATATAGCTTACATCTTGAAAATCCTTCATTTAAAAATAATTGAACAACTACCTCTTTATCGATGACAAAACATCCACATCATTCTAAATGAGTAGGATGTCATTAATATATATAGAATCAGAAAAATAATGACATTCTCTTATACACTCATGATTTATTCACTAAGGAATCTGCTGGTATCTTTTTGTAGATTAACTTGCCTTCCATAGGTATCACCCTACTATAAAGTTCTACAAGATCCCAGAATTTATTAGAATACATAGATTCCAACTCTGATTTCATAGTAACTCGCCAAAACGATCTGTATCTATATCGGTTCACACTTCCGTGTAGCTTACTGGGTCCAATTCATGTTTAACAGGGATGTCCATAACGGTCTCACCTAAAAACATGATTCTGTCGGATTAGATGATAATCCTCCCACTACATCAATGTACCGATTAAGGAATCTGTGTATTAGATGATGCTGACGCATCAATAGGGAATTCATCTATAATTCTTAATCTCTATACTAAGTGTGTTCATATGTGGTACATCTGGTACCCATACCATATTCTCTAACACTATACTACTAGGTATGTGATTCATAATATGATTCTCTTATAGATAAACAGTGAGTGTAAACAATCAACTTTTATCATTGAGATTATAAAATAATCCGTCCTAGTGACTTTTAGAGTAGCTATCAAATCTATCATGCGTATGATCTGTTTCCAACTTACTTGTCCATATCAAGCGCACATGTGCAAAACTACCCCATATGTGCATGTGATTCAAATTAAAATTTAGTAAAAAACACAGCTCAACGGTATCCTTAAGACAGACTAAGATGGAATGCAATTCATAATGTACATTGATATTGTTAAAGCTAAACTCTAAAATGAAAGAGATAATATAGCATAACAGATCATAGATCTAACCATGTTAAGCGGAATTCTATTATTCCTATTTGACACCTAAATCCATTTAGGGTCAATTGCGGAAAACCTGGTACACCACACCCTCATTGACCATATAGTCTTTGCACTATCCCAAGAAATACTCATCTCCACGATCAGATCGGATTGTTTTGATAAGCTTACCTAATCTGTGCTCCACATCAGTCTTGACACTTTCAGAATGTACCAAAAGTTTAAGACTCGTGTCGCATCAGATAAATTTATCCAAAACGCGAGTAATCTTACTTGGATGTTCATAAGACCACACGTGTCTGTGTGTACCGACTCCAATTGTCCTTTATGTCTATTTCATTTGGCTGATTAAGCCCTTAGAGTTATCTATCCTTTAAAACATGATTCACAAGTTTGGTTTAGGCTCCTCTGCCTCACTAGGTAATAAACCTTCTTTGACCAATCTTTGAATCTCATTTTGATTGATAACAACCTAAAAATAGACATTAAAAATATAATGAGTAAGGAATAACAAATTTTCTCTTAACATTCAATCTAGAAGATGCAACATTAGTTTCTACATCATGCAAATCTTAAGAGCTTGTGATTATAGTATATTAAGCATCTTTCAATGCACCAGAAGTAATCGCATATCTATTCAATTTTATAAAACCAGTTTTACAAAATAACAATATAGTTTTATAAACCACAAGTGAAACACGAACTAGATTGCGTCTAACTTCTGTGCATAAAAATAATTCTCTAATATTAATATCGTCATACTCTCTAATTTCAGATGTAATAGTCCCACTGATTTAGCTACAACCTTGACATCAGGTCAAGTATAAATATATATCCATATTATCGAGGCTTCTGGATTCCTGAAATCCTTGCAACAATTGCAAACATGCTTAGTGGCTCCAGAATCTATCCATCAGGAATTAATAGATACAACCACATAACATGGCTCAATGATTAAATATACATTTTCTTATGCTACGTCATTGCTTAGACAGTTCGTCATTTAGTGTCTTAGTTAGCGACAAAAGAAACAGTTTTCTTCGCCCTCAACATGCACTGCCTTATTCCCTTTAACCTTTTTGAA